AGTTGAAAATTTTGTTTGTTCCCAGTAACTAACAATACCATTTTGACATTTTTTGACACACACAACCTGCGGTCTAAGAATTTTGTCTTGGAATCCAAATATAAGATCTTTATGCCGGTAGTAAGCAGTGACAAGATGGCGGGGGAACCTCCAGTCCACACATTGATTTTTTATCTACCTTCTGTTGGTGAGAATGATCACCTCCGTCACAACTGGTCTTCGAAATCGCTTTTTTGTGAACAAAAAATGTACAAACTGTTGTACTCACCGTTTTTTAATCGCTTTGATTCGCTGACATTTTTTTTCTGAATGTATATTTATTTTTATGATACATTTTAAGCGTGTTCCATATCTTTATTGACAATTCGTTACTCAAGTCAAGACGCCTGGGCGTTTTCAAGGTCTTTTTTTCGTTTAACCAAGACCACTACGTCAAAGTGCGTAAAAACACGCGAGCATGAAAAAGGCCATTATTCAGCCATCTTCAGCAAACGAGTCCATCAACTGCAAAAAAGGGTTTATGACGATGAGAAATGTTTTCCTCGTTTGAAACAAAAAAGGCTAATCCCGCCCGAGACAGGCGAACCTTGCTTGCTCGAGTAGCCGGTCAGTACAAAAGTATCTCTCAGTTCATCTTGGTGGCTTAAGTAACCAACTATTTGATGAAATTGATGATAAGCGTCATTAAAACTGTAAATCTCATACCCTTTTTACCAAAATTGATGTCACATAGAGAAGAGAAGTGTGACGTTACAAACAATTGTCAGTGAAATTATGGGACACGTTGGCTTATCCAGAAAGAAAAGATGGAAAAGTGTTTACTTGCCAAAATCAGCTTGTTAGAGCAAATTGGTGGGGAGATATGCTCTGATGACTCCATACAAATCCTTCTAAATTGGCCTGGATCGTTACGGGATCTGTTCGTTGTTCAACGTTCGCATTTAGTTTTCGTGACGTCATCACTTTTCCCCTGAATTAAACTTCTTCTTCCGCTCCCTCCGTCTGTGACGGCCTCTCAGCACTTTCCCTTAGATGGCCATTTAGGAAAGGTGCAACTGTATTCATTCGTTTTCTTCTCTTTTACATATTTGAAGACAGTCATAATACGTTTACAGTCGACTCTCTCTTAAAGGACACCTCTATAAGACGGACACCTCTTTAAAACGGACACTTAGAGTTGGTCCCTGCCTTTCTTTACTCCCTTTATTTAACTCTCTATAAGACGGACACCTCTCTAAGACGGACACTTAGTGCCGGTCCCAAAGGTGTCCGTCTTAGAGACAGTTGACTGTAATTGAATTAGGCCGAACGCTAAATAACGACATGATCAATATTTTTGAATATTTGTCCGCGGAAGGTCACACGATAACACAGTAAATCACTAGCTGTGCCAGTTATCCTTCGATCTTGCGACCATGGTGGGCTATCCAAGAGATTCAGAATTCTATCGACACAACACAAAGACCGCATGTTACTGAAAACATACGCGAAAGTATATAATTAATTGACTTTAAATATTAAACTTACCAGAAGTGTTTTTTTTTTCAGCGTGTATGATTCAGAAAGCACTTAGGGCCTGGCTAAGAGAAATTTTTGACACTCCAGATTAGAATATCCTTCAGTTTTTGCCATTGAATAGTTTACCATCTGGCCCGAGAATTGTTTTTCCTAAAAAATAGCTCCTTGATCTGCAATTCAACGGTAATTCAACAGTACATTTTAATCTTTATCCAGTTCAACGTTTGAATTGTCCTTGCCTCGTCGCTGTCGTTGTTTTCAAATATCCTACCTTTTTTTCAACAAATTGACGTTCTTATACCAGGTTTTTGGCGTGTTTGTTTCAACTGTACTTTCTCAGACCGGCTTGAAAGCATGTGCCGGTCATTTAACAGTTGTACTCCCGGTTGTAGTTTTGTACAGTGAGTCATGTCGGGTGGATCTCTGATCATCTCTTACTTACACGATAGTGTCTCGGTTTAAAGCTAATTTGAAACGGATTCAGTTCTTGATTTATAAGGTAACCGTATAGTTAGATTTTTCAATTTTGAGGCCAATGGACCAAACCCAACTTTGTAGATTGTACTCTTTAACTCGAAAGGCTGAGAAAAAAGTTGCATTCACTACGTACTTCTACCAACAAAAGGACTAAAAACGATTTTTAAAAAGCTGATGTTAAGAAACCCGTCTCCGTGTTAACTATAGCTGGGTGGTTTTTTAAAGGCCTAACTTATTGTTCATGTCAGACATCGCCAACAAATTCCCGAAAAGTGGGTGTACACCAGGTTATAAGATTTAGAAATTGGCTTCTTACGAATATTCCATGGTTTCAGCAAAGTAAGGAAACTATTCAATTAGTCAAAATAGTACATTTGTGCTACAGCCGTTTGCAAAATTACGGATATTAGCCCGGTTTGTATCTCAATAGGCCATTCAGCTAGGATTATGTGAATTGCAGTAAGTACGGGTATTGTACAAGTGAAGCAATATTGTTAATGAGTTGAGAAGGAGGTGAAAATTACAGCTTTTGCATAAAGGAGTAATTTAGCCACTGATTTCCCTGACATTTTTCTTTGTGTACAAGCTGTTTTTTGCAAAGCTAATGGTATTAGGAGATAAAGTGGAGGGATTCTGATGCGGATGTCAAAAGAATAAAAGTAATGAAGAAAATAATAGGTTACAATACCTAAAAAGATTATTCAGGAGGCGTCCTATTTCACTCAATGTACCTATGGGCAGTACCTTTAAACCAAAAGCAATTATATAGAAACAGTACATTGATAATACCTAATCATTTACAGCATCGCCGTTTTTTTGTGAATTTATTTCCTGTCCCAAACTTCACTGATGAACTTTTCTAGGTGTTTTTGTCTTTATTCATTAAAAGAAAACGTGTTCAGATAGGGTTATAACGGTCCTGGCAAATGTAATCAGGCATGCTGGTAGCGTTAATTTCTTTGAGTCAGTTGAGTAGTGAGTAGATCCTTTTGCTCAATTATGAGATTAACTTTTTATGCTCAATAACTCTAGCAAATTTTGGAACAAATAACCGCTAAAAGTTGCCGTGTCTGTTATCAGTGTACTGGTGAAATTTGCTTCGTTCAAGATTCAGGTATTGAGTGGAGCACTCGTTAACTATGGTTTCTGTATACTTTTTTCATTTAGAACTTTTGATAAACCGGGCCTCGGTAGGCCTTGTAAAGAGGTTCCAGCGAAGCAACTCTGGCGGAAAGTATATCAAGCTTTGTTCATTGTTCATGCATTCAATTATTGAGCAAAACATAAACATCCCAGCTTGACCTCAGACAAGAAAACCATAAAAACAACATTACTCAGTCGGTATGTACTAATGGCAAAATGAAAGTTCACAGCGTGAAGAGTTTTCTTGCAATAAATGAATTCGCTTCGTAGGTGGAAATTCCACATGGCGGTTATGAATGCAGCCGCTGAAGTCCTGCTTGGAATCAATGAGTCAAGTGAAGATCAAATTAAAAAGTTCGACTACTGTGACGTTGTGTGTTTATGACCAGACTCTCTATATTGTAAACCACCCGTGGAAAAAGCCAATTACTTATAGTGTTTTCCTTGTAGTAGACAGCATTTGAAGAATGCAAACACATCCCATTTGCCCCGAAGGCAGGACTATTTTCATAGGATGCGTGGGATGAAAGTAAAGTAAAATTCAACAACAACCCTAAATATCCTACAAACGGCCTGGGCTACCATTCACTTAAACCTACCTCCAAACGATAAATTTGTTCGTATCTCCGTTTTTAGCCGTGCGAAAATTTTTGAGAGGTTTAAATTTTCTCGAACTCCGTGCTTTTTCAAATGTTAGTCGAGTGTGGTTTATCTTGAATGGCAGAAGCAGATCAGTTTTACTAAGCAAGAGGATTTAAACTGTGGTAAATGTTATTTTCTTTTCTTTGACTCGAAAAAGTTTACTGACAATAGGAGACTAGTTTGTTTAGAGGAACAAAAGACAAGCATCATGTTTCCCGCACGCCGCTGTGAGTCCAAAGCCGGCTTTTTCTTCTCTAAGCTTGGGGGGTGAGGTAGTCTAGATCGACCGCACGGCTCGAGATGACGTCCGAGGGTGGCGTACACCGAAGAGCACCTGGTTATCCCAGCTCATCTCTAAAATATATCCATTCATAAACAAACATTAAAAACGAGACATAGTGAGAGTCTAACAGTCCCGAAATAAAGATAAACTGATTTAGCAAAGGATAGAACTCTACAATTATATGTTGGGAATTCGAGGGATTTGAAACGCGTTTAATCAAAGGATCACATTTTCGTGTTCTTACCTTCTACTTTAATAACACTGAGTTTTTTTTTTTCCACCTTATGTACGATCTCGCTTTATTTACTTCGGATTATGTGCATAGAGTTCAATAAAAGGCAAAGTTATAAGGAATAAAAATAAATTCCTTTGATTAATTTGTCTGGTCATTATATTTATAACATCTAGTTACACAGGAAGGTTAATAGATTGTAGAAGCATTTTTTCTCAATCAATACTCGCTAATGCTGGTTTAGTAGTAAGCTTTTCGTGTTTTAATGAGGTCCATCCCAGTAATAAATCTAGTTTTGTCAGCACTTGCGAAATAATTTGCTGTACAAATTAGCTGTAGTTACAAAACATCTTCATAATAGTGCTAAACCGGTGCAAATTGTTTCTGTTGGTGCGCTAATATGTTTTCTGTTTCTTCATATATATTTCCACAAAAAATAGAAAAAATTCTTGGGGTTTGACAAAAATTGGCTACTTATATACATGTACTATTCAATTTCCGTTTCAGTTATGTCTAAGGAAATATTTCATAGTTTCAATCGCGTGTCAAACAGATCGTTTGGCGTCTTTCATTCTTATTCCTTACAGTTTGTAATAAAACTTTTCTTGTCACAGTATGGCCAGGGTATGAAGCCTTGAACTTGTTATACTAGTGTTTTGTAACCTAAAAATCGAACAACTTGTTCTTTTGGGCATAAAGATTGTTCTAGAGTCTTAAATAAGGATGATGGAAATGCTTGGAGCTTTCACAAAGGTTACACTGCGTGCAGTTAAGGTGTTGGTAGTATGGCAGAAAGGGTAACTGAGAGGGAACAAACAAAGAGTCCGTTGACTGAGAAGTAGGATTGTAGTATTGAAGAGGAAGAGCAAATGGTGTTATTCCCGGTACTTTTGGCGGTTCAAGAGGTGAGAAACCAAGCTGTGGAATCAAAGAACTTGTACTAAAGCGATTGTGAAGCTCCAAGGGAGATGTGAAAGCATGTCTTCCCGTTTCTACAACAGACAGAGATTTAGCCTCAATTCTGTTGGGATCTTGCCTTTTAAATCTGGTCTTCCTTCGAAGAAAGCTCCCATTCTCAAACATGTTGTAACTTTCCGGGTCAAGCGTCCAATAGTTTCCCTTGAGGGGCTCATCTGACTTTATTCCTGTCTTAATAAAACAGTCGTTCAGTGAGAGGTTATTTCTGATGCAGATTTTCCATGATGGGTAAGTATCGCGATAAAAAGGAAACCTATCTCTGATGAATTTGCAAATTCCGTCAAGAGTCAGTCTCTTTTCTGAGGAGTTCTGGATTGCCATTGCAATAAGCGCGATGTAAGAATAAGGAGGCCTTCGCCTGGACTTGCGGTGGGTACGTGTTTTCTTGTTGTCGGTGTTGGAATCGTTCGGTAGTTCATTGTCTTGTGGGTTGTGGTCACTCATATCACGATCTAAGTTGCTTCCTGATCTGGCATTATCATCGACTTCTTGAGCTCTGGCGGCCAATAGTTGGCTTTTGTCAGTTTCAACTACTGTAGACACTCCAGTGTGTAGAAGACCGCTTTGTGGGAATCCTCTAAAACTTTCCATTATGTTTTAGAGACAAAACGTTACCTTACTCCACTCGGTGTTCTCTGTCAGTTATGTGATTTGTCTTCGGTGGACTCTGTATCTTAGATAGGACACGTGATGCAGTGGCTCCTGTGCAAGTTATACTGGTCTCAAGACAAAGTTATCAATCCTTTTCAATCCAATTCAATCCAAATCTGGAGAAACAGAAAGCATGTGCAGGAACAATGATGAACTGCTTCTACACAGGTGTAAATGGCGCCAGGCTAAATAACACCTCACTAATGCAGTGTTTTGTGGTTGAACAACCACTAGATAATAGAATAACAATAAACTGGGCCTACCTTTACTCACACTTCAGCACAAAGCTTTAGAAAGAGACTAAGCTTTAATTAAGCTCGCTTTGTAGAGGAACCGAAGAAAGAAAGCAAGCTGGAGCTATGTTTCGCTGCCAAATGTGACTAAGATCTTTACCTCCCGCTAACACGTGCAAACTGCTTGCTGGTTGACCGGGTTGAATGACTTCTATCTTCTAAAAGTGATTGTATTCGTTAAAAAACCCAGGGGCAATTTCTTTTTAATTGTGAGTGTGTAACAAATGCTAACATAGACTGGAAGCTCGTATTGAACAACTAAGAACAACACGTATTGTTTCCAAGTGAATGACATTTATTACTATGGAAGGCAAAAGCACTTAACAATAACTTGATTATGACGAAGTTTCGCTGTTTTACCAAAATATTATCTGTTATATTCTTTGTGTGTGCCCTGACAGCTGACGGGAGTACCTTAACCAGGCAGGACGTCTTAAGGACAAATATTAAGAGCGACCCGACTCAATCGTTCACTTATAACTGTTTGAAGTAGCCATGTTTACCATGTTACCATGTTCCATTGGTCAATAGAATTTATTTAAGAAGCCCATATGGAATTTTACCATTTGACTTGTACTTCCTTTTTTTTATGGATGCCCGGTGACTGCTTTACCCTTAAATTTTATTCATTGTTATGTTTTTTTTTTAACTCGAAAACCACGCTTTGGTTGATTTACAGTGTGTCACTTACACACGCCAATTAATAGCACTACCTGCCTCTTACACACTAAAAAATTGTATTTTTTCTTCCCCCACAACAACTAATCGATGAACATTTGTTGTTTTTCCTCGTCTTTAGCTTCATGCAGTAACAGCCGACATCTAAATGCATTAATAGCTAAGCTCAGTACATTTCTTTTCCATTAACCGTAGATTAATTTGGCAAAAAAATTCCAATAACGGTGTCTCTTAGTATTTTACCCACGGGGGAGCAATTGTAAGTAGCAGAAATTATCGATGAATTTGACCACAGGGGTCAGGTCTTGAAATACTTCAATATTTTTCCTTTCATATGCGTACAAAAGACACGCACAGTGGTTTGTCGAGTAAAATAAATCAGCGACGAAAAAAATGTTTATCTGTTCAAGAGATCCCATTGTACGAAAATAATAGTAGTAAAATGGACAAACTGCAGTCAAGTATTTGTATTTTGAGAAAAGGACAGGCAGTTGACGTCTTCGTTCGTTTTTCATAGCTTTCTGCTATAAAACAATGGCCACCGGTAACAAAAAGAGGTTAATCTAAATTTACTTCGAGCCAAAATAATGGAAAGGGTGTTTACGCACAATTATCACTATTCTTTCAAAAGTATTCATCGTTCTTGTAATTATCATTCAAATGATAGAAAAAGTTTTTCTTTAGAATCAAGATCATTTAGAGTTGTTTTGAATAGTTTCTTTCTGACAGTTGTCGAAGTTGGCCATTGTTTAAGGCGTGCTTTTGTTGCGATCAGAAAGCTGTCGCTGTAATCTGCCACAATTATTAAAGTGAAAAAAGAAACCTTCAATTTTCAAATTATAATTTGTACGTTAGTACTGTATTCCAAAACGTCATTCTTCAGATCTTTGTAAAAGGCTTTGATTCCAAGAAGCGATAATCAGTTTAGTTGTGTTTATTGTTCAATTAGCAAATATCTGATAAGTGAATTAGCAAGATCAGAGACGCGCATAGTAGAAAACAGATGCCGCTATTTAATTTTAATTGTGTTCCAGTGTATTTTTGCCAGCTGTACCCTGAAATAACTGTTTGTTATAGTTTCTTTTTAAAACTCTCTCAAGGCTAAGACCAGAACGATACGGCAAATAAAGTATTGACATATGATTTTTATTGATCAATGAAACCACGCGATAAATCAAAAGAATTGATTATAGTAAATTGTATGAACTTCAGTGTTAAAGACGTTTTGTTTAGTATCTACACGCTTCCGAATGTTATTAAAATGCAGTTTGCATAACGGATGTATTAGTTGGGTGCTTAGTTTAGGTTTCCTTGTTAATTATTTTTGCATATAAGATTTACAAATCGAGTTTTCTTTTTTTGCAAATGTAGTTCTCTAAGATTCATGTCTAAATGTTTTGTCCCGAGTAAGAAGTTGTGAATGTTGTATCCAGCAGGGTAGGTGAATAAGAAAGAAATTTACACCCTTTACTCCATGCTGTGGCTGTTTTCAGGATTTTTCAAAAAGAAAAAAACAACAGATGCTACGGTTTAAAATTTTTCCCCTTAGACAATGCATTTCCATACATATTTTGTCGTACGCAAAAATTGGTTTATAATTTAGACGTAGACATAGACTAGTGCTTTACGACCAGGCTGGAGATAAAATTTTAAACGCAACATGTGCCACAGCGATACGCTTACTTATGAAGCAGGTCTCGGCTAAATTTGACTGTTTCTTTTAAGACTGATTGTTTTTACTTCGGTTATTACATATTTTCAAGAAATGAATACGCTTGAGCTTAAGTTGGATGCTTTTAATAAGATAAACCTTTTTGATTCATCAGAATGTGAAGAAAAAAGCTGAGTAGGCAATGTTCTAGAAAAGTGTCATCAGCTCCACCAACGGATATACATGGACAAATGCAAAAATGTAAAAGGAATCGTATATACTAACAAAGCTTTTTCTAACGTTACACAGCTTCAAAGTCCTATCCACTGCCTTAGTAGGTGATCACTGAGTGAAATATTGATTTACAGTCTTTACTTTCCGAGTAAGAGTGTTCAAATCCGAAGCAAAAGAAAAAGGATTTGGGTTTGGTCTATGTTTTTCAAAACTCTCGGAAAAATTGTCTAAGAGTTCATCGGTAGTTTTTCCCCAAAAAGTTCTAAAAATTTGCCAATTTTCTCAAAACTTTTTATACATTTGTCATATAGCAAGTGAAAATTTTAAACAATAATAATATTAATAGAAATAACAATAATAATAATAATAAAAGTAATAAATAATAAAAGTAAATTGTATTATAAAAAAATATCTCCCAGAATCCTTTGAGGCAACTATTTTAAACAATTTCATACCTAGGAGAATGTCAGACCATAACAAGCCACATATCGGTTAATGTCATCAGTCCCGTGACTATTGCCCAGTCACCTTTTTTTGTTGCTGTAACTAAGATTTCTTAATCGAGTTAAAAACAAATAGCATAATTGAGGTTTTGTTTGTGTGGGGTTTAGTTTCAAAAATAACTAGTTGCCTGGCGATTAAAATTTAAGGGGGCAATGAACATGAGCGAAGAAGTCGGGAGACTAGGCCGTTGGCTGTAGAGAGTTGACGTTTTATCACACGGCAGCGGAAATTTGCAGGAAAGTAATGTTTTACCTGATAGTTTTTTAAACGACCAAAAGAGGGACATGACGTCTCATTCACGTGACCAGAGCGTTTTGAAAGTTTTAGTTCGTGTCTAAAGAACAATTTTCATCATCAACTGGTAAATTTTTGTTCTTTTTCTCCAGAAATCTTTACATTGTGTTGTATCTAAGTAATTATACCTCCATTTTCAAAGCAGAAGCAAACGAAAACGTAGCTAGAAGTTTAGAAATTGCGTAAATTTACCGGCGATATTGCAAAAAGCAGAAAAGGACAGTTACTTTTGAGAGTTTTGTAGAATCCTTTTTCATTGCCGAAATTAAAGTTCACCGTTTGTTAATAAAGGAGATCTTAAAAAATCAAAAAGGATCAATTTGGTGGCCGTATTGTTTTTCTTCTTTCCGGGGCAGAGAGAGTCAATCAAGTATAATAGTTCGTAAATTCCTAAACAGTTTTGCATGAAACAACCCTGAAAGAGTATCAATAATGTGCGTCTAGCTTTAGTCCACACTTCAAGGTGTATTTTTTACTCGCATTTTGTGTTTCTCTCGCCTGAAATTACACATTTTTAGCAACTATCAGTTGTGCGGTCTTAAGGAATTTCATTTTTTTGATTGATCAAAACCGCATAAATTTGGTGATTTTGGCAAAAATAACAGCGATCCGTCGATAATGACATGCCAATACGTGTTTTAAAAAAATTCATCACTTCCAAATAAATTTTGTGCTCTTACGAAATTGTTATAGTGTGTTAATACAATAAAAAATTTTCATGATTGATCGATAGGACTGATTTTCCCTCATGTTTCGGTTCAAAATTAATTAAAGCAAAAATCACGAAAATGGTCCATTTTTTTACGTTACGCTGGTTTCTTTTTCCCTAAGGGCAACATAACTTAACTTCGTACATTTCAGTGTACCACTATAATAACCACAGCCAGTGAAGTCGCACAGCGGTCTCGAAATGGACGTTAATTGTGAACTTGCTCATGATCAGATGCCTCTGTTTGCCGAGCAGCTCTGGTATGTTCGTTGCGACATACAGCACCACCTTTACACAACATGAAAAACATCGTACATGCATGCGATCTGCCTCTTTTGCAGCCAGAGCCCTTAGACTTGGAATGAACTCTCCGAAGAACGAAAACGTCTGATGAGTTGAGCTTGTAATCTGCTGCGGGATAAATATCGTTAAATTACTAAATGTCTCCACTGAGTCGGCAAAGAGGTCTACACAAGATAAGAGTGGTTTCGCTGCATTGGTCGACCGTGTAGTGTACTAACGGTGCAAGTCCGCCAGCTAAACATCTGCATCCGGTGCTTCCAAATGCTACCGAAAA